TTGCTCAGTGTAATATCGCCTTAACTCATTTACAAATATTATTATTGCTATTATCATAGTATAGCGACTAATAGCTTACCACAATGCTGTCCACTTCACAGTCAAACACACTTGTGGATATGTTGTAACTGAATGCTGATCCAACATAAACTACTGCATCATTTAATTGACTTTTAACAGAAGGTGTAGGCTGCAAGCTTTCTTGACATGATACCAAAGGCAAGAAAATCCCTCCAAGAAAACAGGCGATCAGCAATAACGAATGAAGTCTAAGTCTTGAAATTTTCTTTGTGGACACAGCTCTTCTTAAACCATCAAGAACAGCATGGGACAGACTTGCGAGCAGCAATAGCAGATTGAAAGAACAAAATAAATTAAACCAAGTCCACTTTGGTCTAGCACTTAATAAAGATTTCCTTCTCCAGGGTTTACACTTCCTATAGTTTCTACTACATGTTTTACATGCAGTTCTCAGAGGATCATAATTTTCTGAAAGTTGTGAGTTATCAATACATCTTTCAAGGACTGTCCAAACAGACACACCCGACGTAGTCTTATTTCGCTGACAACATGAAAAGGCTGTGCCATCCATCTTCAATCAATGAATTCCTTTATCTGTTCTTTCCCTCTGTTCCAGTTAAAATCATCATGAGCAGACAACAGATCGGCTGCTGAAAATGGAATATAAGGAGATTGTTGGAAGAAAAGTGCCACACAAATTCAAAAGCCAAAATCTCCACATGTCAAATACTTGTATCGTAAATTATACTACTCCGCTACAAAAGCCAAACTTCTTGGCTAACCTTGTTTTATGCCAACATGTTTACTTATAATGCTATACTGTAGACAATTCATTCATAAGGTAGATATTTTTGATAATGAAGTCAGATATACACGGACCTGTTGCGGTTTATAATTTGGAAGGAATAATGTTGCCGTATCGACACTTCATGTTCTAAAATAACTCTGATAGTCAGCCACGATGGAAAGAATGCACAAGAAGAGATTGCGGCAAATGCGTATGTGCACGAATATAATTATATGATCTCGAATTTCGTTTCCTTGTTTTCATGGTTACATATGCAAATAGTGAGCTGAAAACAACAGCGTAACGGCAATTTTTTCTAGTGGAAACATTTCAACCACGTTAATGGAAAATTGATGGATCGAACCTTGCTTCTGTTTGTCTAAAATCGGCTTTAACGAAGAAAGTCGAAAACTTAAAGAAGATATTGGCAATTGTTTCTTCGCACTTAAATGATAACATCAAGATTGTATTCGGAAATCTATCCAAGCTAGCGCCGGCTAAGTCTTAGCTACCGCTTCGGTTGGCCATGGGAGCTTCACGTTTTCCTCTTACCCCTTGAAAAACACAACTTTTTGAAGCTGAAAATATGTTTCAAAGGCGTAGTTTACAGTTCTGAAAAAAAATTACAGTTTTTAAACAGAGCTTTTTTTTAACCAGCTGCACGATCGCTGTCCGATCGGATAAAGGAATACCAACGGATGAAATAAACATGTTCGAATTCGAGCTGTTTTCCACAATAAATCAAACAATCAACCTTACCTATAGTTTCCTCGATCGCAAACGAAGTCTTCTATGCATTTCTTGTTACGTTTTCACGGTAGCATTCTACAAAATGCTCTCGATATTGCCTCAGCACAGATTACTCAGCGAACATTACCCAGCGAACCATCGATCGATTCAAATTTCCTTACTCTTCGAATCAATAATCAACAGCGTCGTTCGGTTACCGAGGTCCCCGAGGCATTTTCGAAAGCCGCGTCATATTCCAAATTTGGAACGCGACTGATTGAAAAGACCTGGGAACGAGATTGACTCGAGACGGAAGATTAGAATACTGGAACGGACTTTTTGTCTGGTGATCCCGGACTAACGGCCTTAACTTTTTACTTCAAAACAGTTTTTTTTTCCAAATTTACTTTTGGATTAGATGCCATGAAGTCTTTCCTTGCTCACGGGAGTGTCCATTTTTTTTTTCTCTTGGGGTAGTTTTTTTTCTCTTGGCCCTTTATTCCTCCCGAGGCCCTGTCAGCTGCGATGCAGTAATATCCAAGTGCAGACCTGCCAATCCTCTCAGTTTTGCTCCCAGTTTTTCCTCTTTGCCTCATGCACTCCCAAAGAAGATCTGGAACCTCCAGGTTTTTCTGGAAATAGATTATGATATAAAGCTTCTAAAAGCTTGTTTGATAAAAAAAAATTTCTGCTCAAGAATCACTTTTTTGCTTCCATTGTACAGTGGAATCTCGTTAATACGACCACCTTCGGGCCATGAAAAATTGGT